TGTGTGTGTGTGTGTGTGTGTGTGCATGCGCGCGCGCGTTCATGTGCACATATGTTCCTATGTGTGTGCATGTGTGATAAACAGAACAGAGGTCAGTGTTGGGTGCCTTTCTCTATTGTTCTCTGTCTTACATTTTATTTTTGAGAGAGGATCTCACTATGCAGCCTTGTCTGGTGTAGTGGTTTGAATAGCCATGGTCCCCAGAGGCTCATATGTTTGAATGCTTTGTCATCAGGGGGTGGGGCTGCTTAGAAGGATTAGGAGGGGTGGCCTTGTTGGAGGAGGTGTGCCACTGGGCATGGGTTTTGAGGTGTCCAAAGCCCAAGCCAGGCCCAGGGTTTCTCTCTTCCTGGTGCCTGTGGATCCAGATGTAGAACTCTCAGCTACCTCTCCAGCACCGTGTCTGCCTGTGTGCCACCATGCTTCCTGCCATGGTAAGAATGGACTGAGCCTCTGAACTGTAAGCCAGCCCCCAATGAAATGCTTTGTTTTATAAGAGTTGCTGAGGTCATGGTGCAATGAAATGCTTTGTTTTATAAGAGTTGCTGAGGTCATGGTGTCTCTTCACAGCACCTGAACACTGACTAAGACATCTGGGCTTGGAACTTGCTATACAGACCAGGCTGGCCTTGAACTCAGTTTCACCTACCTCTGTCTCCCAAGCTCTGGGGTTAAATGCATGTACCATCACATCCTGGTCCACCTTAGGTTTTTAGGACAGGGTCTGAACTTAGAGCTCACCAAGTCAGCTAGATCAACTGGGTAGCCAGCAAGCTCCAAGGACCCTAGCTCTGCTCCCCCAAGTGCTAGGTTAAGAGGTGCACTGTGGAACAATCCTTTTCTACAGTATGAATATGTGTTACTCTCACTGGTTAATAAAAAGCTGACAGGTCAGTAGCTGGGCAGGAAGTTAGGCAGGAAAGCCAAACTGAGGATGATGGGAGCTGCCAGCCAGATGCAGAGGAAGTAAGATGAGAATGCTGTATACTGAGAAAAGGTACCAAGCCACGTGGCTAAACATAGATAATAATTATGGGTTAATTTAAGTGTAAGAGCTAGTTAGTAATAAGCCTGAGCTACCGGCTGAGCATTTATAATTCATATAAGCGTCTGTGTGTTTATTTGGGACATGGAAATGTCTGCTCACAGTTTACCTGGCTTTTCTGCGGGTGCTGGGAACCCAAACTGAGGTCCCCAGGCTTACATGGCAGGCACTCTCCCACTGAGCCATTTCCCCAGTTCCTACTCTGCTTTTCATTGATCTACTTGGTTTTGTTGGTACTGAGAATTTCATTTGAATACTATATTTATATCATCCCACCCTTTAACTCCTCCCATATTCCCCCACTCTTTCTCAAATTCATGGCCTCATTCCTTAAATTATTGTTTTTTACAAGCTGAACCTCCCCACATACAACTAGCTCTGTTCATTTAGTATTGCTCATATGTCTTGCTGTTGTTTTTGAGGCAAGGTCTCTAGCCTAAGCTAGTCTCAAACTTCCCCTATATTCTCATTTATCTACTCTTTTGCCTCAATATCTTATTCTTATATCTTATTCTTAGCAACATCTTTTTTTATTTTAAAGATTTATTATGTATACAGTGCTGTCCTTGCAGGCCAGAAGAGGGCGCCAGACCCCCATTACAGATAGTTGTGAGCCACCATGTAGTTGCTGGGAATTGAACTCAGGACCTCTGGAAGAGGTGCTTTTAACCACTGAGCCATCTCTCTAGCCCCTCTTAGCAACATCTTAATGGTCCTTTAACACCCAGCTCAAATTTCTATTAGTAAGAAAAGGCTGTTTTGACCTTCGAGGTGGCTTTGCAGTGTGATCCTGTGGGAGACTGTTTACCCCTGATTATTATAGTAGTGAAGGGCTGGAAAAAGCAGCAGCCCCGGAGCCAGATTGTCAGATATGTACTCACAGGCATACTGCTCTGTTGCTCTCTCTGCACCCCAGCTCTCCTTAGCTGAGTGGGGACAGTAGTGATCCTACCTTATCGGGTGGTGTGAGTGCTAATGAGTGAGTGCAGGCGCCTGTATACCAAAGCATAGTGCCAAGCACACAGCAAGCCCGTTAAAGATTTAAACTATCACTCTCATTTAGCTGTATTTCTGTCTCAGCCTCAGACTCCAAGTTTTCCCAAACCATATATGTCTTATGCAGCTGATACATAGGAACTTTTGGAAAACAAAACAAAACAAACCTCAGGTTTCGAGGGTCCTACTTCTTGAAGCTGCACCTGCCCTTTGGAAGGTAAGTACATACCTCATGTACGGTCTGCGAAGGGTGAATCCGGAAGTTGATTGTAGCCTGAGCAAATGGGGGGATGACATTCACCTAGACAGAGAACCAGAAAGCTGGCCTGAACCCTCCTCATGCCTTCCAGAGCCGGCCCCTGCCCAGGAAACACACCAACTACCAACCAGGAGGAAGGGAAGCAACCGCCATGGTTTAAGGAGCCAGGGCTGGAGTCTGCCCTGGTCTTCTCCTGGCCCTCGACCCGCTGCTATAGTCAACACTTTTAGGGCCTCTGCTTCAGGTGAGATCTATGTGTTTCTTGGTTCTGGAGGGCTCACAGAACAGGATTGCTTTCCCTGCGACTGCCAGACAACTCTATGCTGTGCCACTGGGGGCCTTCTGTGTGCATGTTCCCGGGACACCCTGGCCATTTCTGTTAACACTGGTGCTCCCTCGCGGTGGAACACCCAGGGTCTCTAGGGTCTCCTCCATAGTAAGCTGTGTTTAATCCCTTAAGGGATGGTAGTGGTGGCTGTTTTACATGTCTGGGTACAAAACCTACCTATTTTTTGTCTGAGCTTATGACTAGTGTGGAGAAGACAGGCTACAGAGGGATTATTTCCTTGATGTCTTGAGAGACATTTCCTACATCTTTCTCTGAACTGGTAAGATGCCAAAAAGCACCAGGTTCGGTAACATGCTGGGCTAGTACAAACTGGCAGTGTGAATTTTGAGTAGCTGCTCCTTCACAGCACCTCTGCTTTTCCAGCTGGCGGTTGAAGCAATACTACTTGCATGCTTCTAGAAGAATCAAATGGAGTATCCCCTGGCCCCGGGGGAGAGATCACCCCAGGACAAAGGCAAGAGCACAATATGTTGGCGATCAAGCAATAGCTGGACATATATGACTATTTTGAATAATAGCTGGTGAAAATAACCTGGATTGGCTCAGGTTCGTTATGGCAGAAGTAAATTTGGAGGCATCATTCACTTCTATCAAAACTTGGGACCCGGTGTGGTGGCGCACGCCTTTGATCCCAGCACTCAGGAAGTAGAGGCAGGCGGATCTCTGTGGGGTTTAGGCCAACCTGGTCTACATAGTGAGTTCTAGATCAGCAGGGGCTACACAGTGAGACACCATACAAATAAAAGGCCAAGCCCAAATCAGTCTTGTTTTCCAGATTAGTACAGTTCAAGATCATATTGTGCTTCAGGAAAGTGGTGGTGCTTGAAGTTGTGTTGGTGGCCTTGATGGTTATGGGTGGGTCTAATTCTCTTCAAAGCCCTATGCTTTTATGGGCCAGGCTTGGTCCCTCAACAAGAGACACTCCTGAGTAGTTCAACTGCAAGTGAGCCAGTTTACTGAAAACTTAATGCTTTCTTTATGGAATAAAAGCTTATCAAATTATTGCTCCTTATTTCTAGAAAAGTAAGACTTACATAGAAATTACATTTACTGAGGCGGATTTGGGGGAAGACATAAATTTTATGAGTGGCAAGTGAGTGTGTCTATGAATTTATACCCGGGGGACATACATTAACTACCCACTGAATTAAATCTTCAAAAACAAAGACTTTTATGAAAGGTTCTACTTGGCCGGTGCTGTGGTGCTGTGATAGAGACCTCACCAGGTAGAAGGCTGTAGGATCGACCTCTGGCCCTACTAAAAAGTAAGCGAATAAACAAAAATAGATAGAGACCTTAGATGATTAAAGGATGTGAAAGTTTTAGTCCTTATGACCGCAGTGCTATATATAGGAAAATATAAAACATGCGGAATTACATTTGGGGCATGGGTTAGGAGACCCAATGCCCCCAGTCCCGCTCTACACATGCATAGACAGATGTGACCACACTCAGTGGGCTATACACTTCTTCTGGAGCCTTTGCTCTTGAGGCTTCTCCAGCTGATGTCAGAACGGTGTCATGGGACCACACTAGCCCTTCCTTTACTGTAGCCACAGCAGGAAGGGGAAGCCGGTATATAAATTCAAGGGCTGGAGGGGCAAGTGTAGCCGGAGGAACCGGATGATGTTACCTTGACTCCTGCGTTGAATATGGTGACGGCTGTGGTGGTTCTGACCAGCGCGTTGGTTACGGGATTCCTCTCCATTAGCCTGCAGGGAAAAGCTTATGGTTAGACATTAGGAAGGCTTGGAATTTCACTCTCTTGTCCTAAACCTTGGAGACCTTTAAGGCTGAGAGAGACATCGGCCTCTACATTAATTACACGAAGTATCTATGGCCAGGTAAGCCAAGAAATGGGGGTGGGTGGTGGGGTGGGGGACTGGAGAGGGGAGACTTAGAGGGGGAGACAGAATACGTTACCTGCTGACAAGGGGCCGAAATAGCCACAGGTTGTTCAAGACTAGATTGGCAGGGAAGGGAAACTGGAAGAGAAAGATCAAGGTCAGCAGGAGGGAACGGTCCGCACAACAGCTGCTGCTGAGGCCTGAGTCTCTCTACGGGAGGCCTACCTCAGGGTTCAGTGCTCAACACCTCCCCCTCACCCCATCGGCCGACTCAGTCTGCTGGAGTGAGGCAGTTTCCACTCGGATGGACAAATCTGATTCTTTGGAACAATTGCTCAGCAGTCACAAACGATGAGTAAGAAACAGCTTTCCAGGGGACCTGGGCACGTTAGGCCGCAGGACCTTGGGTAAGTCCTCTCAGCTCCAGACAGCGCGCCCCTTCTTGGCTCACTCAGCCGCTGGCTGGGCCGAGGTGAGAATGGGCGGAGACCCGACTGACAGAGTGGCTCTTTTATTACTCTCCAGCCCTTTCCTTCCCCACCCACTTTCTGCTTCTCCAACATAGCTGGCCAGGAGCACGGAACGCTCCTCCCACACCTCATTTGCCAGAAGTTTCAATGCCTTCTTCATTGGCCCACTTCCAAACATGTTCGGCATTGGTGTCTGCTCCAGTCTGGAAGAGAAACAGAGTTCTCAAGACTAGGCCTCTCCCAGACCAAGATCAGCATCCTGAGGATGCGGGAGATGGGTGCAAGTTTCAACAAGTCTGCTCAGTCATCCACCCGCCTGTCACCTCCAGCAAGCCCAGCTGAAGGTCCAGAGCATCAGCAGGAGCCTTCCCTGGCCACAAGTGTAAGTCAGGGTCACGTCCTTCTCTTGCTCCGCTCCTCTGCCACCCTGTGCCCACTCTCACAGTGCTTACCAAGTGTGGCAGGACTGCCAGTCTACTGTACCAACTTGGGCTTCCTTAGGGCAGGGGCCATCTCAATTTTTACCGTATTCCCTGACACAAAACAGTTCTGTCCTCATTAGGGACTATTGCTGTGATGAAACACCATGACCCAGAGCAACTCAAGGAGGAAAGGGTCCATTTGGACATACTTCCACATCACTGCCCATCATTGAAGGAAGTCAGGACAGGAACTCAAACAGGGCAGTAATCGATGCAGAGGCCACACAGGGGCGCTGCTCACTGGCTTGCTCCCCATGGCTTGCTCAGCCTGCTTTAGAGCACCCAGGACCACCAGCCCAGGGATGGCACCACCCACACTGGGCTGGGCCCTCTCACATCAACCACTAATTAAGAAAACACCCCACAGGCTTGCCTATAGTCCCCTCTTACGGAGGTATTTTCTCAACGGAGGCTCCTTCCTCTCCGATGACTAGCTTGTGTCAGGCTGACTGAACTAGCCAGCACACTTTCTTTTTACTTTGCCAAGAGAACCAAGACACAGGTAAGTGTTGTTCTTGTAAACCCGAGTCTTTATCCATAGCCAGTGCCTCTTATTTATCTTGGTACTCCTGCCAGAGCAGCAGAATTCAGACAGCTTCACCAGTCACTGCCACCTCGTAATTCTAACTGTTTGGCTGGGCTCCGGACTACCCAGCTCTCTGGCTAGGTTTCTGTCTGCTGGTTCCTGCATGCCCTCTTACTGTACTGATAGATCCTCTGATCCCAGTCCTGTTCTTGGGACTGGTGGCCTGCACCTCTGCTCCTCGGGCCAGCTTTATGGCAGGAAGTATAGGCAGGCTGGCTCTTCAGTCTCAGAGTGGGCAAATAAATACCAGGTCTTCCATCCAAAGCAGTCCTGGGATGGGAGCCAGGAGCTGCGGCGGAGCCAGGAGCTGCTTACCGGCTGACAGCCGCGGAAAGGATGCCAATGCTTGTCTCCTTTGGGGGAGCTGAAGAGTGGCCTGGAGTCATGTCTACTCGGAGCATCAGATCAAGGGCACCCTTCTCCGAGACTGAGATCCTGTGGGAGGAGGACCAGAGATGAGTCTTCAGGCTGCTTCCCTAGACCCACAGGGCTCATGTTGTATGAGAGTTTCTTTGTGATCTGACAAATACAGCTTGCCTGGAGATCAGAGGGTGGAGCCAGCCACTTGTTAACCATGGAGCCAGGCAGCAGTGGCACACACCTTTAATCCCAGCACTTGGGAGGATCACACCTTTAATCCCAGCACTAGGGAGGTGGAGACAGGAATATAAGATGGGTAGAGGAGGACCCAGGTTCAACTTCAGCACCCACATGGCAGCTTACAACTGTCTGTAACTCCAATATCTGACAGCCTCACGCAGACACACATGCAAGAAAAACACCAATGCATGTAAAATTTAAAAAACAAAACAAAACGGGCTGGAGAGATGGCTCAGTGGTTAAGAGCACCGACTGCTCTTCCAGAGGTCCTGAGTTCAATTCCCACAACTACATGGTGGCTCACAACCATCTGTAATGAGATCTGGTGCCCTCTTCTGGCCTGCAGGGACACATGCAGGCAGAATACTGTACACATAATAAATAAATAAATAAAAAATAAATAAATAAATAAATAAATAAATAAATAAATAGGGTGGGTAGAGACAGGATCTTGCCCATTCAGTCTGAGGATTCAGAGACAGGATCCTGCCCATTCCGTCTGAGATTTCGTAGAATTAAGAAGTGACTATGGTTACTGCTCTGCTTCTCTTTCAGATTTCACCCCCAATATCTGACTCCAGGTTTATATTGTTAAGACTAATTAAGATTGTGCTTCAGTGGCCGGGGCGCACGCCTTTAATCCCAGCACTCGGGAAGCAGAACTAGGTGGATCTCTGTGAGTTCGAGGCCAGCCTGGTCTACAAAGTGAGATCCAGGACAGGCTCCAAAAAGCTACACAAAGAAACTGTCTCAAAAAAGAAAAACAAAACAAAAAGATTGCACTTCAGGCTCATCTGCATGATGGTCTGGTGGTCGAGAGGTTAGCCTCATGCTGTTTTGAAAAATTCAACACTAGAGGAAGGGCATGAGGGCAAGTCCAGCCCAGGACATGTTGAGGATGAGGGTGAGTGACCCAACAGAATATGACTTATAGGTAGCAGGCTGGAGAGTCTCAAATGGAGAGATAACTCTCTCAGGGTGGAGGGTGGGGTGCCTCACTTACATGGCAAAGGGCTTCTTGAGGTTCGGAATAAAATCTTCCAAGATGAAGCTCCCCTCGTCCACAAGGAAGGCCAGCCGAACACCCCTGGCCTGTAGGAGCGCTGAGATCGTCCGAGCTCCCTTTGTCCCAGACACCTGTAGAACACCCAAATACAAAGCTAATGCCCTGCTCAGCCAGAAACAGACAAATAGAGACAGCGGATGTAGACTCCCTCAGCTGGCCCCTCCAGAACCTTCCTTCCTAGTCTTTTTTGGTGGGGCAGGGCCCGAGATAATTCTGTCTCACAGAATCATCCAATGTCCGAGTCCCTCTGGGTCCTGCTAATTTCACAAAGGAAGAAACTGGGATCCAGAAGTGAAGGGTTTGTCAAGGTTTAAAGCTGGTGGCATCTCCGGGAATGAAACGCTCAGTTCTCTTTCTGCTGTCCTTCTGTTTCCTGGGGTAGCATTGCCAGACTATCTGCTTGCCTTAGATATTATGAGGAAATTTAGTTCTGGCACACAGGCACACAGAGAAACTGGCGAACAGCTACAGAATCTCATGGAGCCCCTGCAGCTGATGGGTATACTGGATCAGGGTAAAGCACCCCACCTCTAAGAGACCCTGAGACAAGTACTGGGTACATGGCTTACCTCCTCATCATGGCCCAACGCTATGAAGAAAGATCTTCTGGGTCTGTAGTTTCTGATCAACAGGAGCTCCAAGGCCTGCAGGATTGCCTAGGATTCAGAAGAGGAGAAAGGTTCACTATCTAAGTAGGGTGTCAGAGTCATTCATCAGGGATGGTGGCACTAAGCTCTGATAGACTGGCTTTAAAGAGAACAACTTCAGGGCTCTGTAGAAAACCCTTAGTACCTGAGAAAAGCATGCATTTACTAATGCAAGCTGAAAGGGTCCCTTTGCAGTGGATTATCTACCCCCAATTCCTACATGGTTGAGAAATCAAGATCCAGAAAAATTGATAGCTACCATTTAGGCCTCCTACAGCCCATTTCTCTCTCTCTCTCTCTCTCTCTCTCTCTCTCTCTCTCTCTCTCTCTCTCTCTTTCTTTTTCTTCCTCTCTCTCCCTTCCTCCCTCCCTTCTATATGGCAGGCTGGCCTCGAACTCAGAGATCCACCTGCCTCTGCCTTCTGAGTGCTGAGATGAAAGGCGTGCGCCACTACCGCCCAGCTCCAGCTAATTCTTTCAACCATAACCTCCTGCCTCTCCCACAGCCAGTCAGATTCTCCCCTCCTGGAGTAAACTTTGGGCTCTAGGTCAGGTATGAAGCATAATATTTCAGACCATCACAGAGTTCTTGTTGTCCAGTGTGCCCCGGCCATGGATGAAGCCATCACGCTCCAGGCCTGAGAACGGGGGCACCTCCCATCCTTCTTCAGAGGCAGGAACCACGTCAAAGTGAGCCATCAGCATGTAGGGCTGCAAACTGGAGTCTGAGCCTTGGACAGTAAATAGGTGGCTATAGTTTGCCACGACTTCATGTTGGATAAGGCTGCTGTGGAACACTGTAGGGAAGACTTGAGACAAAGGAATAAGAAGCAGTTAGAAAGCCAGGGCCATTTCCCTCCCATTTCCTGATCCCAAGACCTTTTCTTTTCTTTCTTTCTCTATTTTTGAATATGAATGCTCCTCACAGATATAAATTCTGACCCATCTATTCACTTTCTGAAATTCCTCTTGTGTGTGTGTGTGTGTGTGTGTATACATTATAATATATAACATAATGTATACACATAGATATTCCCTCCAGGATCAAACCCCTCCTATTTTAATATGCTATTTAAAACTGTACCATTGAATATTAGAGATGGAGAGACGGCTCAGAGGTTAAGAACATTAGCTGCTCTTGCAAAGGACTCAGATTCAATTCCTAGCACCCACAACCATCTGAAACTCCAGTTCCAAGGGAATCTGATGCCCTCTCCTGGCCTCTGAGGAAACTGTATACATAGTGCATAGATATACATGCAGGCAAATCAGCCACACATGTGGACTATTCCTTTACACTGTGTGAATATATGTCACTGTGCTTGGTTTAATAAAGAAGCTGACTGGTCAATAGCTGGACAGGATAAGGTTAGGCGGGAAAGCCAAACTGAGACTGCTGGGAGGAAGAAGGGTGGAGTCTGAGGAGACTGAGTCAAGATGGGCAACAAAGGAGATAGATTCAAGAATCTTGCTCTGAAAAGAAAAGGGGATATAGAAATGACAGGATAGCCGGGCGGTGGTGACACACACCTTTAATCCCAGCCCTTGGGAGGCAGAGGCAGGCAGATCTCTGTGAGTTCGAAGCCAGCCTGGTCTACAGAGCGAGATCCAGGAAAGGTGCAAAGCTACACAGAGAAACCCTGTCTCAAAAAAACAACAACAAGCCGGGCGGTGGTGGCGCACGCCTTTAATCCCAGCACTCGGGAGGCAGAGCCAGGCGGATCTCTGTGAGTTCAAGGCCAGCCTGGGCTA